GAGGCTAGAATATACAATCCAAATGAAAAGAAATTGGATCCTAGAACAATTTCTGGATATTTCATTGGTTATCCACTCAAGTCAAAAGGGTACATATTTTATTGTCCTAACCATACTACGAGGATAGTTGAAACTGGAAACGCCAAATTCTTAGAGAATGGTGAAGTTAGTGGGAGTGTTGAATCAAGAAAGGTAGAACTTGAGGAAATTAGGGTGGATATTTTACCATCTTATTTCCCTCAAGATAAAGTTAATCTTCAACCTATACAGCAGGTTGAAACAAATGATTCACCACTCCATTCACCACTTCATGAAGATGTCATCATTGGCAATACTGTAGAACCACCACAACCGGTAGCTTTGAGGAAATCTCAAAGGGAAAGGAAATCTGCCATATCCGATGATTACGTGGTGTATCTACAAGAATCTGATTTTGATATTGGTATTCAAAATGATCCAGTTTCATATTCACAAGCCATGAAAAGTAAAGATTCTAGTAAATGGATTGATGCTATGAATGAAGAGTTGAAATCAATGGACTATAATGGTGTCTGGGATCTTGTCGAATTGCCTAATAACAGTAAGAAAGTCGGTTGTAGATGGGTCTTCAAGACCAAACGTGACTCTAAAGGCAATATCGAAAGATTTAAAGCTAGACTAGTAGCCAAAGGTTTCACTCAAAAGGAAGGCATTGATTATAGAGAAACTTTCTCTCCAGTATCTAAGAAAGACTCTCTTAGAATCGTTATGGCTCTTGTAGCTCATTATGATTTGGAGTTGCACCAAATGGACGTGAAAACCGCTTTTCTGAATGGGGATTTAGATGAAGATATCTATATGGACCAGCCTGAAGGATTTGCAAAACAAGGAAAGGAACACTTGGCTTGTAAATTAAAGAAATCCATATATGGACTTAAACAAGCTTCTAGACAATGGTATATAAAATTCAATGATACCATTACTTCCTTTGGATTTAAGGAAAACACTGTTGATCAGTGTATATATCTAAAGGTCAGTGGGAGCAAGTTTATCTTTTTAGTCTTGTATGTGGATGATATTTTACTAGCAAGTAGTGATCTTGGTTTGCTTCACGAAACTAAGAATTATCTTTCCAAGAATTTTAAGATGGTTGATATGGGTGAGGCAAATTATGTCATTGGGATAGAGATCTTTAGAGATCGATCTCGTGGATTGTTAGGCTTGTCTCAGAAAGGATATATTAATCGAGTTCTTGAAAGATTTAATATGCAGTTTTGTTCAGCCATTAATGCTCCTATCACGAAAGGTGATAAATTAAATGAAAAGCAATGTCCAAAGAATGATTTGGAAAAGGAGAAAATGAAATTGATTCCATATGCATCAGCAGTCGGAAGTCTGATGTATGCACAGACTTGTACTAGACCAGATATTAGTTATGCAGTGGGAGTACTGGGTAGATATCAAAGTAATCCGGGAATAGATCATTGGAAAGCAGCAAAGAAGGTTATGAGGTATCTTCAGGGAACAAAGGATTACATGCTTACTCATAGGAGATCGGACCAATTGGAGGTTATTGGTTATTCAGACTCCGATTTTGCTGGTTGTGTAGATAGTAGAAAGTCCACATCGGGCTTTGTATTTCTACTAGCCGGTGGAGCAATCTCGTGGAAGAGTGTAAAGCAAAGTATTATTGCTTCTTCTACAATGGAGGCTGAGTTTGTAGCATGTTTTGAGGCCTCGAGTCATGCACTGTGGTTGCGAAATTTTATCTTAGGGCTTAAGGCTGTTGACTCAATTGCTAAGCCTTTGAAGATATATTGTGATAACACCGCAGCCGTTTTCTTCTCTAAGAATGGAAAGTATTCAAGTGGATCCAAGCACATGGATCTTAAGTACTTGGTTGTTCAAGAAAGAGTCCAGAAACAACAAGTGTCAATAGAAAATTTAAGTACAACTCTTATGGTTGCTGATCCATTAACCAAGGGATTGCCTATAAAGACATGAGGAACATGTTATTAGAATGGGTCTTTTGAGCAATCCATGATTTAATGAGTTATGATTATGTAATTGACACTTAATTTATTTAATGAAATGTTTCTGTTTTCCTGTTTCCAATTATGTGTGCACATATTATATTTGGATTTAACAGGGTTTGTCCTAACAAGACAAAATTAAAGGGGCTATTATGGATTAGAATAGTAAGGGTTATTAGTGGCGTGATACATAGAAGGGAATATGATAAATGAATCATATAACCGATATGATTCACATTAATAACTCAAACTAGTTCTAGTATTAAAGTACTCTATTTACCTATTATGGTAATCACCTTAATTTTCTTTTAAAATCGTGATCACGTGTCAAATGTTTTGTATGAAGAACCCACCGAGTCAAATTGTTTTTAAACTTATTTTTCTTAATCGATTCAGTGGACCAAGTGGGAGAATGTTAGTTTACGTTTTAAAACGTTTTAATTTTTGGTCCACTAATCTTTATTTTATTTAATTAAATTGTGGGTAATTCAAATCATGGTATTAAGGTGATTTTATGGTAATTGATTTGTAACGTTGAAGGCAATAAAAGACCATGATGGGTGGGATTTGTCTTCTGCCGTTACAAATCAATCGTGGCCCTCTTCTCTCGTCTATAAAAGAAATCCACAGCTCTTCTCCTCAACCATCAGACGCAATTGAGAATTCCATCACTTACAGAATACTAGTGAGTTGTGATATTAGAGAGATAGAGAGAAGAAGGTGTGCTACGAATAAAGTTCTCAAGGAGATTCGAAGGAGGCCTGGCTAGGCTCGGCTTGTAGATTGCTATCGTTCATCGTCTCTATCGAAATCCATGGCGAACGGTATGTCGATAATCTCTATTATGTGCTTATGTTCTTAAGATGAATTCGATTTCAAGATTCTGTGATTAAGGTTTTCCGCATAAAGTTAAATAAAAGTCTTTCAATTATAAGATTATTTATATGATCACCAGACATCGCGAATTTAACAACATATTTACGAGAATAATTAAACACGATTACCTATTTTCGGTTCAAAAGTTCTATTTAACACTTATAATGTTTTTATTTCTACTGAATTGCCATGTATTGTTTTACGATGTCTCTAGAAATCAAAGTATAAAACGAAACAAATTAAATATTGTAAAATAGAGTAATTTTACCAATTAATTTAGGACTAATCGTTAGTTTATCGTCACACAATATGTTTATTTCTACTAGATTAATTAAATCAATTAGTTTATTGCATATACTTTTATTAATTATGATGGTCCTCTTGTATATATAGTACATGATAATGTTGGATTACATAAGTATTTCATTAATTACATGATTATGTTTTGTATTAATTCTTGATTACACAAATATTTCATTAGTTCCAACTTCCATGAATATATTTCAGATTTTCAATACTAGGATATGGTGCTTTTGTTTATGCCACATTTAATTATGGATTACATAAGTATTTCACTAATTACATGAGTATATTTAATTCAGATTACCAATACTTTTAATTTAATTCTAGATTTCTTACATATTTCAAATTCTAACAAAATTTCATTTTTTTTTTCTAGAGTCAAAAGTCAAAATTTCACCTAGTTCAATAGTTCAAACTTCAAACTATTTAATAAAAATGCCATACAAGAACCATTACACAAATTTTTAATAACAATAATTGGTGCATATATACCATATGATGAAAAATCTCTTAGTATTTTTTATTGTAACAACTAGCATCCTCCAAATATCGTCCGCAAAGAAATGTATTTTGTCGAACGAAGTGCGGGTTCACGTTAGTAACGACCTCCCTGCAAACACCGTCCCGTTGAAGTTGCATTGTGCGTCTGCAGACGATGACCTTGGGAATCATACTCTTATGATTAATCAAGATTTTAGCTGGCGTTTTTGTGATGGTTTTTTTTGGAACACATTGTTTTTTTGTCACTTTTGGTGGGGACCGAGTCAAATAGCTATCGATGTTTATAGTTCACATTGGGTAGCACAACAATCTGATGACAAATATTGGGCAGCGAGAAGTGATGGTATTTATTTTTCTTTCTTTAGCGATCCAAAAACTTTTACTAAACGGTTTGATTGGAATTAAGAAATTAGCAATTGATATAAATTATGTGCTTTGAGCATTAATTTATTATTGACAAATATATATAAATAAAACTATAGATCAACATTTTTATTTTATTGTTTTTGATTTTGTGATACATAATCTTCTAGTTGGTATAGATTTCATGCTAAATACTATTATCTGAAATATTTACCAATCTGTACCCGTTTTATTCTATTCGAACTCCTCATGTTGAAATGAGATGATCATAAGATTTGTCTTTTGGTTTGTAAATATAAATTTGTGGTGCATCAGAAACTGCATTTTTTGCACAAAACGAGTACAAACTAAAAAATTATGTTGAATTTGACAGCATAAAGATGAACATGTAAAAAAATTCATAGTTAATGGGTGGTGGTTGTAATTACCCAAACATAAGAATTTTTTATTATTTTTTTTAATTTGACATTTACCTCTGGGGTGGCTGTAATTTAAACTTTTTATTATAATAATACTGAAACTTAATGTGAAGTCAAAAAAATAGAAAAATTGTACTTTTTTTCCCAAGCTAAATTAAAAAAAAAAAAAAAAAAAAAAAAAAAGAAAAAGAAAAAAATTGTATCATAATTCATAATAATATATTGTAGCTACTCGACAGCTACAAGAAATCCGAATTAGTACATAACTAATTTTCTAATATATATTATCTTTTATTTACATAACTAATTTCCAAATAACCGTATAACAAATCCTACTTCAAACAGGAAAAGGAAACAAACTATCATAATTAAACCCCTCTATATATTTTACTCATCCAACGCCATAATTAATTCTTCATTCATATATTTGTTTTCATCTCTCTCTCTAGGAAAGAAAAAAACCCTAATATATTTCGTCTCTTCTTTTTTTTTTTCTTTTTCTCAATCCAAGATTTAATTTTCTTGAATGGGGTCTTCTTCCGATCAAAGAAAGATAGCACTACGAAGCTCGGAAGGCGAGCTGTTCGAGATATCGGAATCGGCGGCAGTACTATCGAACACGTTGAAGAACAAATGCAGCATCCCTCTCCAAGACATCCGGAGCAAAACCCTAAAAGACGTGATCGCGTACCTTAAAGAACACGCGCGCGCCTCCGTATCGGACGAGAAGAAGAGAAAGTTCGACAAGAAGTTTGTTTCGGACAAGGATATTCAAGCGCTTTTCGATATTCTAATGGCGGCCGACCACCTCAATATTAAGGGCTTGCAAGAAATCGTCACCAAGAAGATTAACGAGATAATGGAGCATAAAAACGTCGAAGAGCCCGCGAAGAAAACGTGGGCGGTTGAGTGGAAAGCGTTTCTAACGAGGAAAAAGAATAGGGGCAAAGTCGTCAAGTCGAGCGGGAGCAAGGTCGGCCTTTTGAAGATGCTGATGAAATCGAAATCTGAGTTCGGGTTTTAGTTCTCCTGTTCTGAGTTAATTTTGATGGATTAATGTTAATTAAAGATTTTAGGATTTTTAATTTTGATTCTTTTTCAATTAATTACCTTGGATTATATATTAGGGCTACTGTTTTGCTAATTAATGAATGAGATTAAATTATATTTAATATAAATCGAATTCCACTAATAAGGGTTATGGGTAGTTATGCTAGGGTTTTCTTTTTTCTTTTTATTTTTTAGTTTTCAATTATTGTCAATCATCCTATGGCATCCAATTTTCCTATTAAAACAGGTCATCCAGTCTAAATTTGCACCCTTAATGAATATATAATCATTAGTATTTTGTAGAAATATATATATATATATATATATATATATATATATATATATATATATATTTCTTTGATCTACTTATGATTTTCCGGTAATTAGGGTTTCTGTTACTTTCTAATGGGTGTTTTAATTACTGATATATTTGTTTGAATTGATCGGTATTTACTATTTTCTTATTCTCTTCATGAGTAGATATATTACTGTTTATGATTTTTTTATTTTTCATAATTATTATTTTGTATTTTTAATTAGAAAATACTAATACAGATACATATACATGTATACGTTCGAGCACATAGTTTTTTGGTTATTTACTATTCATAAAACGGTATTATTAACTATGCTTCGATTAGGATTACACGAATATATTTTTTTAAATGGTAAATAAAAAAAAAGTTGAATAAAAAATGACGTAAATAAATTAATTATTTAAACAATGAATGTTCTAAAAGTGGCGAGTCTGAGATATTGTTACAAGATGGACTTAAATTTTCGTTAGTTTTAAATTTGTTTGCATATAATTTGATTATGGTTGTAGTATGTGGATAATCTAAATACTATATGACAGCAAGGTAAAAAAAAAATGTTCTTTACTTTCCTTATTATTATTCAAATTGCGTTAATTAATCAAAATTAAATTAAATATACATATATGGAAGCAATTATTAGGTGTTTAATGTGTTATAATAGTAAGTAAAAAAATATAGTAAGTTTAGCTTAAACATCTATCTTTTGGATATTCTTATTTTTCAGATAGCAATTGGTGATATATATATAGAGATAGTAAGTTTTGCTCTATCTAATTTCTTGATCTCAATAAATTATATTTTAGATGAATTTATTTTCAAAATATTTCTCAATAAATTACAATTCTTTTGTGAATGGATAGAAACTCATTTTTATTTTATTTTTTATACATGGTAAATATTATAATTTCACTAGTATATAAGTTTAGCCATCCATAGACCAAACCTACCACAAAACAATTCTCATTTATCTTTTTCATTAGTAAATTAAATCACCATGTTTACTTATAAATTAATTGTTGTATCTATTTTATTGGTCCAAATAAATTATTGTATTTGTGTGAATTCACAATCAGTAAATAATTCTTTTGGTGGTGGCTTCTCAGTTGCAGTGGCAACGTGGTATGGTAGTCCTGAAGGAGCTGGAAGTGGTAATAATTATTTAATGTTAAAAGAAATATATTTAATTAAACAATTATATATAAAAAAAAATTAAATAAAAGATAATACTAATTATGTTTTATTGTAATTTCCAGGTGGAGCTTGTGGATTTGCAGATGACGTGGCAAATCCTCCATACAATGGTCTTATTTCTGCTGGAAACCAAAATATATTTAAACATGGACAGGGTTGTGGGACTTGTTATCAGGTTCAAATTAATTTAGATAATTAACAAACTTAATTCTCTCTATTAATTTAATTTATACATAATGTAATTTTTGCAAGTAAATTTTTAAAATTATTACCTATTTGTTTATTTATTTAATTTGCGGATATAATCGGTTCAAGTTATCGTATAATATATATACATGATATGAATCAATTATGTCGTTTTAGGTTAAATGCACAGAAAATCCAGAGTGCTCGACGTATCCGATTAAAGTAACAATCACAGACGAGTGTCCCGGTGCCTGCAACAACGAAGCATTTCACTTCGACTTGAGTGGAAAAGCTTTTGGATATTTAGCCAAGCCCGGCCAAGGTGACGCGTTACGTAAAAGAGGAAGGATTAATATCCAATACGAAAGGTATATATATATATATATTAGGGTTTTTCATATTTTTTTATTCGAGTTGAAATCTAGAGTAATTTGTATATAATTCAAAACATATATACACTCTAATAATAGTTTAGAAAAATAATTTGTGGAGAGTTTCGCGATTTCTTGTAGGGTACCGTGCTCGTACAACACGGGCGTAACATTCAAGATCGACTCAGGTTCGAACCCTAATTACATGGCTTTCGCGATTGAGTTTGTGGGTGGAGATGGTGACATTGGTGCGGTCGAGATGCACCCTGCGAATTCCGGAACGTTGTACATGCAACAATCTTGGGGCGCAACGTGGAAAGTAGGGATACCCGTCGGGGTAAAAGGTCCGTATTCCGTGAAGATAACTACCATCGAATCCAAGAATACGATTTACGCTTCCAATGTGATTCCGGCTAACTGGGCTCCCGGCCAGTACTATCATTCGAACGTGAACCTTTCTTGATAAGGGAATCGACACATACTTTTAAACTTTTTTAGGGTTTAATACATTTCTTAAACATGGATATGATCATTAGATGTTGTTATATATCGAATAAGTTGCCAGCAAATTAAGCTATTTTTGCTTGTTGAATAAAATGAGGGCATGTAGAAGTTGTACTCACTTTTGATGGTTGAATATGTAAGCAATGTAATTGTTTAGTGTTTCTTAATAAGTTACATTTATGTGAGCACTTTAGTTGTGGTTAATTTTTAAATTGAAATTTCCTTTTTGGGGGAAAATAATTCAATAGTTTTGCTCTTCTTGTTTCATAATTTGGGCACTTCAACTAATAAATTTCTTAATTTTTTTTAGTTAATATTCTCTTAAGAAAGAGCCTCTAGCTCGCTCCTCATTGCCGAACTCAAACTCCGTCCGATCCTTGTGGTGCACCCAAGCGCGTCGGGCTTGAGTTCGATCGTGAGTAATTCTTCGGTGGGCTCTATCCGACCCTTGGGTTTTACACGGTTCGATTGGGTTTCAGGCTTTTGGTCCGGGTTTATAGTTTCTCCGATTTTATAGGTCAGATCAGACCGGTTTTATGGCGGGTCGCAGTCGGACACGTTGGACCGGTCCGGTTCTGACAACATTGACATACGAATGTCAATATTTAGGTAGATTCTCTCTAGACCATACAAGGAAGAAGGAGAAAAGGAGAAAAATAAGGTTTTGGTCCGCTACCTTAACGGGCCTTGAGTTAACAAGATTTACATTGCTCCATCAAATACTTATCGGGCTAAGAGATGAGGAACCTGGGGCGAGGAATTTCTCCTTTTGATGCAAGAAAATTAGAAAAATAAATTACCAAAATAATGTGGATTACATTACATAATTGACATAATTAAAATCGTGAATAAACATTAAAAATATTTGAAGTTCTATAATCATATCAATTATAATAAAGATTAAGGGGGTGTTTGCAAATACTTATGTAAAATCAGGAGTTGGTGATTATCAGTTAAGCTCTAAAAGATCATTTATTTGCAAAAGTTGTGGGTGTTTGCAAAAGACCTATAAAATCAACTTTAAGCAGTTAATTTAAAAGTTGCAGTGTTTGCAAACAAACTTAAAATTTCAACTTATTATTTATAAAATGTCCTAAATACCCTGATAAATACACAAATAAATATATAAATTAATTCATTTATAATCAATTTTCTATTTTTTTTTCAACGGAAGAATATATATATATATATATATATATATATATATATATATATATATATATATATATATATATATCATGAATTCTGCAAGTTCTTATTTTAGATTTTCTATACGACTATTGATTACTACCAAATAGTTTATAATTGTTGGGGAATATTTTATATATATTCAAATACAATAGGCTGAAGTCTGAACAATAAGAAACTAAAAACATAACTACACCTAACCACTAATGAATATGTAATCCAATTCTAGAAAATGCAATAGAAGTACAAATATCGTCTCTAACTTTGTCCATTCCACCATCACGGACGCCCAAATCTGGTCCATGAATATTGGCATTAGATCGAGGAATCCTTCTGTCCTTTGGCAAATAGTTTGGGTCATTGTCATATTGTAAGAAATCCTCATCTAGTGTGTCGACTTTACGAATAAAATTATGGATTGCCATTGTAGCCGGGACAAGTGCAATTTGGTCTTTCCAAGGAATATTGACGGGCACATCTTTTATTGTATAAAATCTTCCTTTCCAGCACCCAAATGTTCGTTCGATTGTACTTCTTAATGAAGAGTGCAAATGATTGAACACTTCATACTGATTAGTATATGCAATAACTCGTTGAAAATCTGGAAGATGATACTTCTCACCTTTGTATGGTGCAAGAAATCCTGATATATTTGGATAACCGGCATCAACCAAGTAGTACTTACCTATCACAAATATTAGAAGACTCATATATAATGAATGCACTACACAGATAAGCTAAAATGTATAAAAAAATATGAGCTTGAAAATAATCAAACCAGGAGGTGGCATTGGAAATTTTTTTTCCGAATTTCTGATAGTGTCATAAAATATTCGCGTGTCGTGCGCACTTCCCTCCCAACCTGGCAATACGTACGTGAAACACATATCAAAGTCACATACGACCATAATATTCTGAGTGGGAGTTCCCTTTCTTCCAATAAAAGGAGTTTGTTGCTCCTTCTGAAGCGCCGCCTTAATGTGGGTTTCGTCAATTGCTCCAATACAATCCTTAATAAAATGAATATTAGTCGCTTAGAAATAAAGAACAAGAACAAGATTTACTTTAAACGTTATTTCAAAGAAAATTACCTTAAAATGAGGATAAAATCTCTTGTTAGTTCGAATGTACTTATGAGTGATAGAGTTATCTGTGAATGGAATAACCCAGTCGATGGACATCAATATACATGCTTTTAGGACCCTGTGAAATGATTTACTTATTGTAAATCCAGATCTTTGCAACATTTCTTGACACTGTCTATTTCCACATCTTGGACCCACTAGCATAAGGAATGTAGCAACCTGTTCCTCAACTGCAACTCCTCTCATTGGTATAAGACCATATTCATCAACTAATAACTTACAAAGTAGAAAGAAAGTCTCTATTCTCATTCTTAAGTTTTCCTTACAACGTCGAGGATTTCCATTAAAAATAGACAACAAAGCAGCCCATCCGCTATACTCTCTATTGTGACACAGAGTTTTATGTAAATAGTTTTGATAGTAAGATACGACTGCGATACATATTGAATTTAGAACCTGAGCTCCGGTTTTGTTAGATGTTGATATAACACTTTCTTTTTCTTCATCACTACTTAAAGAATCTAAATCATGGCTACCTGATGATTCAGAAAGAGAATCCATGTTTGAGTTTGAGTCGTCATCAACATCATCCATTCTGTCAATAACAAGAGAAAGTACTTAGAAAAACAAATTCAACAGCCATGACATTTAATAAATAAATCTTAAAAAATCTTAACAAACCAAATAGGATGAACATCCAAAGTAGTTCAATTCTTAACAAATAGCAACAAACCAAATAAACAAGAAAGTAGATTAGAAAAAAATAACATCCAGTTCTAGAGTATTAAAATCAAATGTTCTCTTTCATCCAGATAATGCATGGTCATTTTCATGAGAACCATGAACTAATGTAGTTGAAGTAGTGCGGCGTCTAATGTCCCGTTCCATTTGTTCCTCAAGCCACTTCAAGCGGATCTCATCTTTTTTTATGGTAAAAAACAACTCACGAATAGCTGGCTTTAAGAAAATGCGAGTTGCATACATCCACAGAGGACCACCTTCATCAATTCCAGGCATATTCTCCAATATCTCGAGACATTCTTGTATGCTGTATTGACGCCTTGTATCACCATTAAGGCGAGATGAGTCATATTCCATTGCATCAACCATTCTTTCCAGACACTTTGAGATCTTGTCAGCATTAGAGACCTTCTTAGTTTTCTTTTTACGGATACGATTAAGAAATTCAGTGCTTTTTCTCATCGAACTAGTTGGTGGTGCTTCTCTTGGCACTTCAGTCGATATTTCGGTTGTTTCATCAGTAGGTGTAGGTGGGGATATCCACTTTCAAGATCCTCGAATGGTTCACCTTGAGATTCTTGTTCTCTTTCCTCTTGCATGTGGGGTGGCAATATACCAGAGCTTGGAGTCCATGAACTTGTTCCAGTTGCAATCACATCCGAGAATAACATCTCTTGCTCATATAGACACAAAGGACCCCTCTCTCGAAATTTGGCTGCAAGTGGATTTGCCTGAAATTCAAACCAAACATTTTAAAATACTACTTTAATAAAATAAAGAAACTAAACACATTTCTTTAAAATTCAAGCTACATGTATCTTCTTATGCCACCACTCTGGAGTTGCATCAACTGTGCCTTTTATTTGATTCCAGCCTAATCCCGACTCACCATGTAAAATAGCTTTCCACTTACCCCATTCCTTTTTCATTATATCCCATTTGTTCTTAAGTTGGATTCTTGTGTAGTTGCGGTTTGTAGCAGAAGAGAATTTTTTAACAAGGTTATCCTATCCGATTTTATTAAAGTGGCTACCAGGACGATTTCCCGCTGTGGTTTCTTGGACACACAGCCTAATGAATACCTCTGTGGTTTTGTTATCCCAATTAGCTTTGACCGAGTCAGAGGTTTTACCAACACGAACTCTGTGGCTAGTGACATTAATAGGATGCGAGTCTTCGTCGTTATACGATGAAAGATTCTCAGAAACAGTATAGGTGAGATGTTAAAATAATTAAATGAAGAACCCATAGACACACAATGTGTTGTGCTGATAAAACAAAATCAAAGATTAACATTAAAGAATGATTATAATCAAATAGACCATGATTTGGATAAACTAATATTGATGTGTAGATTACAGATAAGCAAATTATATCTTATTTCCTAAAAGCCCTTTCATACCGACTTCCATAGCTAAACACAAAGATTGCAACATATTGCGTAAGTACATGAAAAAAAAAATATATGCAAAACTCATGTTAAATACATGAGGACAAATGTTTCAAATTAAAACAAAATCAAATATATATTCAAAACACAAAGTTAGTGAAACAAGATTTTAGCCATATTCTTACAGAAATCAGAAAGCCCAAAAGCATATAAGCCAAATTGCTACATATATTTGAGGAAAAGCACAGGTGCGTAATTCACAAATATATAGATTTAATCCTTAAACTACAACACGGAAAAAAAAAAGATGAAGGATACCTATTGTGATTGTGACGATGAATTTCTTGCTGAAGCAGAGTGGAGGTGGAGGTGGAGGTGTTTTATGTGACAGAGTTTTGACGTGAATACAGGGTAATGCTGGGTAAACGTGGGGATTAATTAAATTAATTAAAAGGGTAAAAATGAATTAAAATATTTAAAACAGCTTATTTTTATTTACAAAAATGCCATCAACCGAAAAAGTTGGGTCAAGCCTGCTTTTAAGATTATAGCTTAAAATAGCTTATTTTTAGAGAAGCAAAAGTAGAAGTTTGTGTCACAAACACCAAAAAATAGATTATGAGACAAAAAAAGCTCATAAGCTGTTTGCAAAAGCATTTGCAAACACCCCCTAAATACTGAGCGGATTAGTCAATATTTAATATAAATCGGATTCAACTAATATTTTTTGACATGTGGCACTCTTAAGTCTTAACTCTTAATAAATCACGATGATTATAATTAGGGTTAGAGGGTTATGGGTTTTTTTTTTCTTTCAATTATTAGAATCCTAATTATATTTTTATTTAAAGTACTATCCACGTTTCAATCATTCTATGGCATCCGATTTTCCTATTAAAACAGACCATCCGATCTAAATTTGCACCCCAATTATAATATGGCATCAAATATCACTTGCATGATGTCCAAAATATTATATTACATATGAATAATTGGCATAAAAATCGTCGAAATCTTGGAAAAAATTCCAGAACATTCAACTCTAACAAAGTTCCATTACATGAATTAATTAGCTCATGACAACCTAGTAATTATATAATAAACCAAAATTAATCAAACAAACCCCAATATTTTATTGTCCTAATCTGTTTTTCCCACTCTGAAAACTTCACCGGCTTAACATTATTCCTAAACAAGAAGACAAATTCATAGCTAATTTTTATCCTATTCACAAAGAATATAAATATTAATCTTCATGTTTAAAAGGGCCCTAAAAAATTAATCCCTTCTAAATTCTAATTTATATGATTAATTATGGTTAGAAAAATATACCGCCACCGGGAAATAGCGGCCCTCACCGGCGGCAAGTGGTGGTTGGTTTGTTGCATGGCCCTATGCACGGTGGTGGTGACCGGAGAGGAGATTTTCTTGGAGTGGCATGTTAAGATAAACGACGCTATCAAGCCAGTGTCGGAAAATCAACCGGTATAATATAATTAATTTTTTTTTAGATTTTCCTTTTAGAAATATATATATGTATTAACTAGTTTTAGATTCTTGTTTATTGCTGTGCAAAATAATATTTTTTTTGGTTTTTTTTTTTGTATGTTTTGGCAAGGTTATTACGATTAATGATTTGTTTCCGGGTCCTCTTATTAACGCGACGACGAACGACAATCTGCATATCAATGTGTATAACGAAATGGATGAGCCACTTCTCATGACATGGTAAATATATAGCGAAGTTATTTTAATATATTTATTTATGGGTCGAATTTGGGTTGATCAGAATCGATCGAGCGCAAAATCATTTAACTTACTCAAATCTGCACCAAATTAAACCGGTGTTTTTATTAAATATAATTAAAAAAAATTGATTGGCAATGATGATGATGATGTAGGAATGGGATTCAACAAAGGCTAAACTCATGGCAAGATGGGGTGTCGGGTACGAATTGCCCGATCCAACCCGGTTCGAATTGGACTTACGTTTTCCAAATGAAAGATCAAATCGGTAGCTTCTTCTATTTTCCTTCGATTAATTTTCAGCGGGGTGGGGGTGGGTTCGGCCCTATCCGAATCAATAACCGGGTCGTCATTAACGTGCCGTTTCCGAAACCCGAACAAGAGTTTGATCTTCTTATTGGTGATTGGTATCAACAAAGTTTCAAGGTGATTACTATAATATATATATGTAATACATTTATTTGATGACCTAGTTTAAATAATTACTATAATTGAAAAATAAAAATAGAGGTTTGAGGATTATATAAATAAGCTAAACAAAAAATCTATACATTAGATGAAAGAGTTTCTAGATAAGCAATAAAATTTAGGCATTCATCACTTATATATTATAATTATTACCGCCTCCGTATTAAGAATTTAAATAGATATGTCCTGATTTAGGAAAAACACATTAGAAATACTAAAATAATATTGATCATTTAATGATGTGATAATCAAGAGTTAATAATACGAGTTGAATTAATAAAGTTCAAGCAGAAAAAATGCATTAAATGCAGTATTGGAAATTTAAAATAACAGATATTACAAAAAAAATATTTTTACAAAGAGACAGTTATTATGGAACAGATAAAGTATTAATAATATTAGTTATTTATATCTAATTGCCGATTGGACAAATTTCGCAGGATGTTAGGGTCAACGGTGGTTATGGATATTTAACAGATTGGATCCTTATGAATGGAAAAGGCCCATTTATTGACCCCCTTACCGGAGCCTACGAGTCTTTCAACGTATCCCAAGGTAAATAATTTATAGCGCAAATTACGGCTATCCCATACGGTAAGGTCAAATTACGAAAAACTCTTCATGTTTGGATAATTACTATGACTTTATCAACTATGGATAGTCTTACAAGTCTACCATTACAGTGTCAAATTTACCAACTGGATGAGGGGTTTTTTCGAAAGAAAATACATAATTCAAGGGGTAGTTATAATTAGCCAAACAAAAGGGTGTTTTTCGTAATTTCACCTTATCTAAGGGGTTGGCCGTAATTTACCCTAATTAATATATAATTTTCTTATTGTATAGGCTAATTTAACCACCTCCATGAGGTAAAGTCTATTTACAAAAAAACTATTAATTGTTTGGAAATTACACCTAACCCCTTGTAGTTTCTAAATTTCTTACATCAACTCCTACAAAATCTTTACTTCAGAGAGACGGTTGTGTTTTTTCCTATTATATATTAAATCAACAAAATTTAATAATTATTTAAACAATTAAACTTGAAATTATTTAAATATTTCACTGAAGTTTTATTTATTTTTTCTTTTTTTCTTTTTTTCTTTTTTTGGTTTGAAGGGAAAAGCTATAGATTTAGAATTTCCAACGTGGGCAACATGTGGAGCTTCAATTTCAGGATTCAAAACCACACAATGCTGTTGGTCGAAACGGAAGGTTCATACACCAATCAGATCACGTTAAATTCTCTAGATGTCCACGTAGGACAGTCTTACTCTGTACTCGTCGCAGCGAATCAAATCCCAGGAGATTACTACATCGTGGCAACTCCTAAATGGGTCAACTTGACTAACCCGAATGCTACAGCGGCTGTCGGGCTTCTACACTATGACAATTCGAATACAACTGTAAATGGGCTTTTACCAACTGGGCCCGACCCGTTTGATATCGGCTTCTCCCTCGATCAAGCCCGATCAATCACGTAAGTAAACCTACGTTTAATCGATAATTTCTAGCCTCTAGACCAGACCAAATGAATTGAATTTGTGTTTGTCGAGTGATTGTTGGTTAATTTTACTCCTTCGTTTCTTTTTAAGTGTTTCTTTAACTTTTTTTCAATGTTTTGAAAACCGGACCGGACATTGAACCGGATAGTCAACTGGGTCACGGTTGGACCGGTTCAACCGAGGTCCAACCGGGTTTTTTAATATTTTCTATATTTAATTATTTGTGAATAATTATACTATATTATATCTTTTAAAAATATATTTGATAATTTGTTTGCATCATTTAACTTCTATTCAAAGAGTTATATATTAATTTATTAACCTTACAGCATAGTAAATAATTTTATTTATATATATATATATATATATATATATATATATATATATATATATATATATATATATATTTCTCTATACTTACTTTTAGATTTTCCTTATTTTATTTCTGTATTTCACTAATCCCCCTCTTTATTAAAAAAAAAAAAAAAGAGAAAAAAAAGACATCACTTCAAATTGAAACATAATTCACCCACCCACCCACCTACCCCAAACATCAGTCACTTTTTATTGCTCTTTTTGCTTCCGTCTCTGCGCTGCTGCTTCTTTTCTTCCCCAATTTGCACCACCCATCAAGACATCATTGAAGATCCCAGCCCAACATCTCAAAACATAGCCTGAAGATTAACGCCACCCATGCCCTCTACCTCTTCCAGCGGCTATTTTTGACAAGTTTTCTTTCTTTCTCGTTTTTTTTTCTTTTTTCTCCACCATCTTACTTAGATCTGTAATTGATTTCTCAAAAACCGGTTTCTAGCCGGTTTCCGGGTTAACGGTTCGACCGGCCAAAAAACCGGATTTTATCATTTAACCCGGTTTTTTGCATTTTTCGGTTTTGTAGTGTTAACCGGACCGGACAAGGCAGCGGTTCGCGGTTGAACCGGTCGAACCGGCCGGTCCGGTCCGGGTTTCAAAACATTGCTTTTTTTTTCTTTTTTCATATTAAGTGTCACTTAGAGTTTCAGGTGATGTTTGCAAAAGCTTTTAAAAAGAGATTATGTCTTTTTTTTTTTTTTACTTATAATCAGTTTTTAGATGTTTGCAAAATCAATTTTTACTTTTGTTTCTCTTAAAATCAACATTTTTAAGCTATAATTTGAAAAGTACCCCATGACATCTTTTTTCTATTTAAGTTGATTTTTTCAGCGGATTTGCACACACCACCAAATTTTAGAAATAAACATTTAAAATCAACTTAGTTCATAATCACTATCTTATACTTTTAAATAAGCTTTTACAAACACCACCTCAATGCTCAAACAATTTTTTTTTGTCCATCTTTAACCCAACATTAATGACAGATTAACGAAGTACTAAAGAGAAGTTGAAAAACGAAGAGGGGCAGTTTTGTCAAATAATTTTTTTTTTCATCTAAAATCAACGCTATTTAATATTTTTCTTAAAAGGTGTGCATTAATTTATGTAATTAGTCGACTCTTAAGGTTTTTTTTATTTTGATATTTTTTTTAGTATGGTTTTGTATTTATATTATAAATAACTAATTTAAATATTTTCCTTAATGTAGGTGGAATTTGACAGCCGGTGCAGCAAGACCAAACCCACAAGGCACATTCAATGTGTCAAATGTGACACTATCACAAACATTTGTTCTTCGTCAATCATTTGCCCTAATAAACGGCACCCCTCGTTACACCGTGAACAACGTTACGTATCTAACGACACACACCCCGTTGAAATTAGCCGATTATTACCTAAACGGCTCCGGCATTTACGACCTCGACGCTTTTCCCGTTCACTCGAGCCTCCCGGGCGCGGTCAAAGCCCCGTTTGTAGTGTCCGGGACCCACAAGGGATGGCTCGAGATCGTGTTCATTAATGTCTTGGACACGATCGATTCTTGGCATTTGGATGGGTACGGATTCTTCGTCGTCGGGTAAGTTTCAATATTTAGTACTAGCATTTCCCGAAATTCTATTACAGTTGAACCTCTATAATTAATACAGACGGAACCAGGGAAATTCTGTTAATTTAGCGAATTATTAATTATCAAGTTAATAATTAAACATATTTGCACCGAGTCGGGACCGAGAAAAACTATTATTTAAGCGAGATTATTAATTTATCGAGTATTAATTTATCGAGGTTCGACTGTACTTATAAATATATAATACTCGCGGAACCAGAAATTTATGTCCGGGAGGGCCGATATGCACTAGTTTTTTTTTTTTCGCTTTATTTTTTGGTGCTATATTCAATGAACATACACTCTAAATTTTCACATGGTCACACCCACATACACGTGCATGTTGTAAAAACGTGTACGGACTAGGGAAATATGTTTTAATTGCGAAATTAGATACGACTGACTGTATATTTCACCGATTGTAGCATAAACAGAGATGTATATAACCGATTCCTCGAGAATTATTTAATTATCGTGTTGTTTTTCTTTTCTTTTTGCTAGGTTTGGTGTAGGAGATTGGACACCGGAAGTACGTGTTACGACGTACAATTTCGTCGATCCAGTTGTACGTTCAACTGTCCAGGTGTACCCTAAAGGATGGACAGCTGTGTATGTGTATTTAGACAATCCAGGAATGTGGAATTTAAGGTCACAAAATTTAATACATTGGTACTTAGGTCAAGAACTCTACATTAGGGTTTTTGATCCTGATCTCAATCCTGCCAAAGAGAAACCACCCCCAGATAACCTCTTGTTTTGTGGTAAAAAAATAAATAAATAATTAAATAAATAAATATAAATATTATTTTATTTTATTTTCATGAAAAATAAAATTTTATTATATTTGGTGAATTATGTGTTTAATAATGCTACGTACACAGGAGTCTTTGAACCGCCGACATATCCTCCGGCAACTCCAACACCGAATCCAGTGCCAGATTCCGCTCCACCACCACCACCACCATCTTCGGCTGCGGTGAACATTTCTCACATAGGCTGGTAATTTTTTTGTTTTACCTCTTATGCAATATTATATTTATGATATTTACTAATTTGTTTTTTCTTAATTAATTAATTTTGTCCCAAATTAATTTTCACTTGACTTTTTTTTTTAAATATTATTGCAGGTTGTATATTGTAATAAGTTGCATTCTTGTAATCTTTTAAATTGGAACTACGAATGCTTCACACTTTGAGTAGAATATTTTGAAACGTGAATAATAAATGTAAGTTGGTGATAAGGATTATTAATTGTTAATTTTAATACTTGCATATATATTGAATAATGCCATCTTTTAGTTTTTGTTTTCATTTTTTATTTTTTTCTTGGTGGATTGTTGGAATAATGTATTTGTGTGTATATTTTCACATATTGAAGTCTATTTAACGTGGTGTCTGCAAAAGTTTATTGAAAAATAAAATTTAGTGATTGTTAGTTAAGTATTGGATGCAAATTTAGACCGGATGGCCTGTTTTAATAGGAAAATAGGATGCTATAGGATGATTGACACGTGCATAGTTTAAATAAAAATATAATTAGAATTATAATAATTGGAAAGGAAAAAAGAAAAAGAAAAAAGAAAACCCCAGCTGAACCCGTAACCCCTCTAACCCTAATTATAATAATCAGTGTGATTTATTAAGAGTTAAGACTTAAGAATGTCACGTGTCAAAAAATTAGTGGAATCCGATTTATATTAAATATCGGCTGATACGCTCAAAATTTAATCTTTAAGTATTTTGTATAAGTGTTTATTTCTATTAATTTAAATAGAAAATGTAGATCTAGCTTTTTAGAAGTGTTTTTAGACAAATAACATAAAACAACTAAAGTTTAAGAGAAACAAAAATAAAAATTGCTTTTACAAACAACTAAAAACTGATCGCTAAACTGTCACTTATATATTCTTTGATGGTATGAAATATGTACATCTTCATGGCATCTCTCAAGTTGAAGTATCTAGTAAATGTTAACATAAATATAAATGCACAACCTAACAAATTAATTAGTTCAATTCAAAAGAATTCTATTGTCAAGAATTAAAAAGAAAAAATGGGCAATTTGTTAAATACTCCAGAATGCTAATATTCTTTCAAATTAGGACAGTCAAACTTTTAAAATTTGCTAAAAGACATTTGTCTTCACGCCCTGTGCCTAGTTTAACTGTTCACCGTCAAATTCCGTCAAATCTGCTCCAGTACTATTGTTCTTTGTCGTTGTCATCATCGAAGCTTTGCACACAGGCGCACACACATCATCACAAGCCTACATATGCATACCCAACCACACACACGTACACACATATACACATCGACACCAAAGATCTTTAACTTTTTTTCTTCAGCTTATTTTAACTAAGGTGTGTAACTAAGTTATGCAAATGATTTTTAAGTTGTCTAACTTCATAGGAAAATTACATGAAATACATGTTATTTTGTTAAACTTTTGCTCGTTAATGTAACTATGCTCTGTAAATAAGTTTTATAAGTTGTTTATGTGTTTGGGATGCATCTATTTTAATTTTTTCTTTAGTTTATTTTGACTACGCTGTCGTTTATTAATAAAACTAAGTTATTGCTTATTAATATAACTAAGTCGTGCAAATCTCCACAAAAGAGTCCCGGTTAGTTTTTCTAAGCAATTCAGGTTAAAAGATTACAGAAGTAACCTCATCAAAAACTAGAAAGCACACAAGTACTTTTAGCAACAATATAAAATCCACTATAAAAAATAATTTTGAGGAGCGTCCAGCTAATTTTTCCAAGGAAAAAAAAAAAGGGGAATTAATTTGACAACAACAACAATAGTAAAAAGAATTAATTCATAAAATAAAATATTAAGAAGGCAAAAAAAAAATCTGATTATGAAGGTCAAAATTGCAAAAAATAAATAAAAAATAAAATAATAAAATAGAAGAGTTCATTATCTATATCTAACAATTGTGTGGGAAGAATCAACGTGTTAAAAAAATAATTGAACCTTCTTCACAATTTAATAATGGCAGTCAACCACAGCCGTGTTGGCCGGTGGTTAATACCAACTTCTCCGGCGCGCCGCCTTCCTTTCGCCTCTGATTCTCATCGTCCGGTGCCGGAAGATTCAGATCCAACGTGAGCCCATTTCTGCCCTTCATCCATTCCTCGGGTTCGGGCTCGGGCTCGGGCTCATCAACGGACGCCCCGCCACGGGCTCGGGCTGCTACTATATTCGACGGCGACAGAGTCAATATTGGGCGGTGCCGCCTCATGTGTCCTCCGAGGGCCTGGCCGGAAGAGAAATCCGCCCCGCAATAGGAGCACACGTGGATTTTCGGTGAAGGAAACGTACTTCTCGGCGCGGCGGCGGCGGAAAGGTTGCTCAATTGAAGAGAGAGAGAGGTGGGTGGTGGTGGCGTTAATCTTTTCTGGGATTTGTGAAGAAATTCTTCGTCGGAGAAAAATATAACTGTTCTTTTCTCGTTTCTGGGCTTCTTGTGGCTGGCCCTATGGCCGCCGAGTGCCTGGAACGAAGGGAAAACCCTGCCGCACGTCTTGCACGCGTACATGCACGCGCCGCCGCCCTTGTAACCGGCGGCGTTTGTTTCCGCCGCCCGTCTCTTGCGGCTGCTGTTTTGTTTGAAAATATAATCATGTCGATCACCATCTTCATCGTCGCCGTCGGCCTTGTCCAGCGGGCGTGTTTGGAAATGGCCGCCGCCGCCTCGGGCCAGGAGGATCAAGCATCTGGCGGTGTCCTCCTCCTCCGTCGTGGTGCTCTCCTCCGACGAGGTGGCGGCGGCGGAGGAGAAGCTGGGGCTGAGGCGGTTAATGTTGGTGGTGCATGTTGTGGTGGTGATTAACGTCGGAAGAGGCAGCCTCTGCCTCTTGGTGCGCTTGCCTTTGGCGATGGCCGGTGGAGAGACGACGACGTCTTGTAATTCATTATCGTAGCTCGGCGGCGGCGGCGGCGCCACCGCGACAACTTCATCGACAGAGTCCATTAGGTCCCTCCTTCACCACCAGCACCATCACCGGTGAACAACTGCTATATCAAATGGCAGTTCTTGTTCTTTTCACTTTTTAGAGAGAGAGAGAGGGAGAAATATAGAGAGAGAAAGTAATAGAGAGAGGTGGTGGTGGAGGATGGAAGAAAGATTAGAGGAGGGACACCACTAGTGTTGGGTGGTGGTTATATTATTATTATTAGTCATGTTTAATAATAACAAGTCAATTGCTTGTATTATTACTCCTTTTAGTGTTGTTATATATAATTAAATTTGAGGAATATTGGTTGCTTTCAAATTATTCCTACTCTAATTAATTTTATAGATCTTATCGTAGATATTACATCTGATGAAATACGTCGACTATATACCTATTCATATACATTTATGGTGAAATTATCTAATGAAGTTCATCAAAGTTAACCGGCCTCAAACCAACTCAGTCAGTTGTTTAAAGATAATATCAATGTATTTCACTTATAGTGGTGTTTCAATATTTTTCATAGATCCTAATTTTGTACTCAAATAAATTTACATGTCCGTATACAATATGTGGAATGATAATACGGATTGAAACTTGTAAATTATATAAATTTGTGAATACATATATATATGATTAACATAAGCACATATGTCAACGTTATAATATACTTTAGAATTTATAAATGTACCCCTATATTTTTAATATTCTAAGTTCATTCACGATTATGTATCCATTTTTTCTTTGGAAAATGGGGTGTCCCCGTGTTCATTTTTCGTTTCGCCATGTATGTGCTACATAGGTTAGCATGCGTCGAATGTTGTGAATGGTGTGAAACTCTATAAATTAAGTATTAAAAAAAATAAAGTGAAAACTAAATTAATCTTTTTTTTGGAGAGAATAAGTAAAACCAATAAATATAATTGGAAACTAAACGTTAAAAAGAAGATAAGTGTAGGAATATTTATGCTTTAGGAAACATAAGTTCAAAACACAATGACAAGTTTGCTTGAAAATAAATGTCAATTAGTATTTTTTTTTTTTTGTGGTAAGTTAAAATATGTTAATTGTTTAAGAAACAAAGTCAAAGAGATGAAGAGTTAAGGAGGGCAAGTTATTGGCATGAAAGGGGACACCATTGAATTTTGTAATTGTGTTGCTGCACACACGTAAATAAAGAATGTCTGGTTTAGGATTTAGTGACAACCAATACATTTATTACTTTTTCATTTTTTTTTTTTCTATTTTGTTTTTCAAGAATCCTTTAAATTAAAATTAAAATGTATTAAAATAAAAATGTATGTATTTTTACATTTATAACCTAGATGCACATCAATTAAAATTCCTAAAAAAATAACATTATTTTTAGGATAAATTACAAAAATCCCCCTAAACTTAGGCTAAATTACGAAAATACCCCATATATTCGTAACTACCAAAAACTTCAATGTTTGTTTCCGTCTTGCACCGACCTCTTATGGTGTGATTTTTCACATAATTTTTTTTTATTCCAGGAAATATTTCTTGAAAAATGTTGATTCTACCTCTAAAGATATGGCATTTATTTATGCTACTTTTTAAAGACAAGATTACCCTCCGAAGGGCCTTTACAAGGAATTTTTATTCTTCTTAAATAACACATTTACAACTTTTTAGTATTACTATTACAACTCTTAAGGTAATTTTATCTATAAAAGGTAGCATCAGAAACACTACGTCTGTAAGGATAGAATTGACATTTTTTTGGAAATATTACCTGGAAATAAATTTCTTGAAAAATCACACCATAAGGGGATTGGTGTAAGACGGAAACAAGCGGCGGTGGAATTTTAGTAATTACGAATACGTGAGGATGTTTTTCGTAATTTATCCAAATTTTGGGGAATTTTCAAAATTTACCCTTGTTTTTAATATAAAAACCACTAAAAAAAAGTTCATTATTTTCACATTTAAGAAAGATATCAAATCCTCATAAAAATTCACCAACGATAAAAGGGCAAATTTGGTAAATAAGAAAATTAATTTTCTCTTAAAACTCTAAAGTGACACATTAATTAAAAAAAATTACAAGCAAAAATGATAAAGAATAAAATAAGGTGAAAATAATCTTCATAACAGCATATTTCCATTACAACAAAAGTTCCTTGTGCTCAAAATCTTACACTTAAGGTCAGCAGCAAACTCCACAGAATATTAGAGACAAACAACATATGAACAAAAACAAACACATTACAAATTATGGCATCTCTGAATTCGATGCAATAGCGCGTTCAGTAACTTTCGACCGGTAATAACAAAACATCTAAAAAAAAACACATGGCAAACAATAATTCGTCACTGAGGTCTGCGCATTTTGGTATTTAAAGGAATCTCCTTGTACGACTGAACCTTTTTGGCAGCTACACGCGACGGTCTGCATATAGATGGTCTTTGAGATTCACATACAATGTCACAACTGCTTCTCTCTTCTTCATCCTCAACCATTGCTGCATTCACAGAAATCGACTCGTTTTCCAGTACAGGGGTACATTTGGGAAATCCGGCTTCATCTTTTAATTCCACAGCTTTAAACCTAGATGATTTCCTCCTCGCAACGGGCCTGGAATGACAAGGGTAACAAATCTCTGTTGAAACTACTATGTATTTTTCAGAAACATTGGGGGGGCCATGGCCCCCCGTCATATATCATTAAGTATAAAAAGAGTACCTTTTGTTTCCGGGATTATCCTCGGATTGCAATGGTTCAGAAGAGCCCAAACCTATAAATTACCAAAGAGAAACGAGTTCAATTTAAAGAAACACTATAAAACAAGGGATTTAATAAGTAATAACTCACTATGTGATCGCAGCCTTCGTTTGGTATTATTATTACAAGGCTTTTCGTCGTCTCTACTATCTTTCGACAACTCCCGTTCCTCCTGTAACTTGCTCGAAATCTTGTGAATGGATGGAGCAGACGTTTTTTAAGGTTAAAAATTCGAAAAAATAAATAAGTAGAAAGTAAATCATTGAAGGTGTATATTTACCACAGCATCTTCGTGTTGGCGAGTTATCGGAGTAGCTTTTTCCGGGATTGGTTCATTATGGGGCAAGGGACATTCTTGAAATCCAGTATCATTTATCCCGATTAGATTATTGGCATCTTTTGATTCCACGGCCTTAAACCTAGCAGATTGCCTCCTTGAAATTATCCTGGCATATGACAACACCCCGAATGAACCCCCAGTAAGAAAAGTTACATGGAATCAACCAAAAATATTATATTCTGATTGCAAAATTATTGGAAAATTTGTTATATCATTTATTTGTTCATTTCGTTAAGAAAATACCTTCTTTTTACAGCATTATCCTCGGATTGCGATGGTTCAGAAGCGCCTAAACCTAGAAAACGACCCAAGGGAAAAAAGACTTGAGTTTAAAAGAAGCCAAGCTTAAAGACTATAAAATAAGAGCTTTATGGTTATGGAATTATCACTCACTTTGTGATCGAAGTCTTCTTTTGGTATTACGAGGCTTTTCATCATCTCTACCATCTTTGGAGGACTCTCTTTCCTCCTGCAACTTGTTCAAGATTAGAAATTCCCAAGCAAACGCATCTACAAGCAACATAACATATAACTACACACACACACACACAGAGAGAGAGAGAGAGAGAGAGAGAGAGAGAGAGAGAGAGAGAGAGAGATCTACATTTGTAAAGCTTTCAGAAAAAAAATTGCCATATTCTTGTTTTCCGAACGTGTTCGTTAAGCTTTCAAATTAATTTCCAGAATTGAAACTTGGAAGTCCTTCGAACTCGTATCCAAACATGATTTGATCTAATTGCTAAGATATAAATATATTCACTAAATTACAAACAAGATTTACTCTATTTCTAGTTCTTGATTTCTTTCAACAATTGACATATTTGACTGCTTAGGTACAAAATGTCTCTTCTCAATCAACAACTCAAAATACGAACAACATTACATATAAACATATACATATTTCCAGGTCAATATATAGAATAGGAGTATAAATAAGGTAAATAAAAGTATATTTACCTCAACATTTTCATTTTGGCGTGGTCTCGTACTAGCTTTCTCCTCCTAACCAAAGACAATATAGTCAAAATACATGTCATGAAAAATTGTGCTTACAGCAGGGTTTAGATGCACAGACCTGATTTTGCAATTCTCTTGCTTTAAGCAGACCAATTTTGCATCCAAGCTCGTGTTGTAATGCTTTCAACTGTAAGAAACGAGATATAGAAAAATGTGTTAGCTCTCACATATTATATTTCGTTAGAAAAGAAATACTCATTCAGGTGTAACTGGACTTACCCGATCTTTACCTGAATTTAGTTCCTGAAAAAAATAATGAACAGATGAAAGTGAACAAAATGCGACGACAAAACTTTAGAAAATAAAATCCTCCAAAATACAAGGAGATACGAACCGTAAGGGTTAGGGTGTGTGACAGAGCTAGTTGTCGATTCTGTTCCTGCATTTTAATCATATTTACCCGCAACCTATCTAGCTCTATTCCACTCTGTTCAATGATTTTGCTACCGCGGAATAATGTGAAGGAATTTCAAAAATATAAGTAACTCACCAGCAATAATAAATCATACAAATTCGCGGAAAAAAAAAGGAAAAAAAAAAAAGGATCAGACAAAATAAACCAAAAAGAGGATACTTTCTTTGCGCCACCATCTTAGCCAAAGCCATGTTTTCCTGAATCACATTCGCAATAAGACCAATTAAGAACAAGAAAATAAAGTCCGTAAAAAATGAATACATCAAGACCAAAACAATAACTTTACCTTCTGGAGCTGTTCAATATACTCTTTAGTAGTTACCGGAATAGATTGTGACTTTTCATGTTGAATTAACAGCTGAGGTTTCTGCGGCAAGTTGCTGATGTCAGCCAGTTTCGGCCTGGCCACAGCCACATTTTGAGGGCATCGCATTGCTATTTTATCTACAGAGTTAATGCCGAATTTATAATGCGAGACAACGAAAGCTAGCTCAAAATCCACATGTTTTAGCTTCTACAAAAACTAAAGTCACCCGTAAATCCAAAAGCAATAAAACGTACGGGGGCCTATTCTACCACTGGTATAAAATGGGAAAAACCTCAAAACTAAAACAGGATAACAAATTGCAAAATTGGGGATAAATTAGTAAAGAAAGCTAGCTCAAAATCCCTAAATCCAAAAAAAAAAAACAGAAGGGGGCTTATTCTACCACTGGTATGAAATGGAAAAAACCTCAAAACAAAAAATATCAACAAATTGCCAAATTGGGGATAAATTAGTGCCAATTTGGGGATCAAATATCAAATTATTCAATCTCCGTAGATGAAATTAACCTGACTGATGTTGGAATTGCCAAATTAGACATCTAAACAAAAGCCAAATTCTGAAAAGATTATGTATACGGCCTCAAAAATCACGCCTTTATCGAGTAAAAGCTCGATGAACGTTCAATTGAAAACCCTAGTTGTGTGGAAAGATCAGATGGGTGTCACATATACGGTCAGAAATTCCCAGATTTAACAAATCCGAAGCCCTAAAAACATACAAAATAAAAAATAAAAAGGAATGAAGAACACGAATTACCTCCGATTTTTGAATCATTCTGCGAATTAAGAATCAGGAAATCCTTCGTTTTCGACATCACTGCTGCTTTTCTCTCCCTCTCTAGAAATTAGTTCCAGCTTCTTCTCTCCATACTTGCCCGTCGATATGCAGTAGCCATCTTTCTCTCTCCTCTCTCTCTCTCTCTCTCTCTCTCTCTCTCTCTCTCTCTCTCTCTGGGTGGGTGGGGCGGGAATGTAAAATTCAAATGACAAATTAAGAAGAAATTAAAGTGGGCTTCTGTTTTGACAGCCTACTTCTAAATGGGCCCACATTTGTGAACCAATTTAGGCCCAATTGTCACTTGGATATTTAATAATAAAATATTATTAATTAAATTAAAATTAACTGAACTACTAAATATCCAACATTTTTTAATAAATGTAGGACATTTGAACTTGTAACTAATATTTATACCACTAATACATATCTTTTCAAAATATTATAAAATTTCAAAAAACAAGCGTCTGCGGTAGACACTAGTTAATTAGTGTCTATTTTTCGACATCTACGTACAGGTCAAATATTTACGATTTTTCGATGGGTTGCTGTCGACATTTTAACCAAATTCGGCGTCTACAAGTCGGAAAAAAAATATATCAATATTTCGACCCCTACCTGTCGAATTTGTTGAGATTTTTCTGCAGCAACTGTCAAAAAAAACAAATATTCGACGGATAAGTGTTGATAATTTGATGGTGCAACTTTGTGATGTTGTTTTAGGTTTCGAAGTTGCATAATCGACAAATTTCAATACCAAATTTCAATATATTTCTCTAGTTTGCCACCGTCTTTTGTAATATTTCATATTGTCCTTAATTATTATCAACGCGTTCTACGTAGATTCAGTTATGAAAATACTTAATAGAACTCGAATCAACAAAACACATGACACGAACATCTTATAGTTGGTTTTGTTAAAGAAGTCGAAAGCAAAAATTATTAAATATGAAGCATATAATTATACAACGTTGATACATAAACGAAATTAAATGACAGAAAAACAAACAATTAATGAAAAATACTTCGACTGATTTGAATTGTCAACAACTAAAACAATTATAATATTTCGAAAAAAAATCGACGAAATAAATTTGAGAAATGTATATTTCGATGCCCAAACGAAATCAAATTGCGAAATATTCTTAGCCCTAATATTTCAAAATAATTATTCTATCTACTTTTAGTTATCTAAAAGTAGGCACACAATAACAAAGCAAACCCTTTCTCAAAACACACCACAATATGAATTATCCTTTGCTTTCGGCTGTCGTTAATCCCTTAATTAATTATCCCTTTTAATTTCTTCTATTACAGTAGAACCTCGATAAATTAATAACATTACTTAAATAATAATTGCTTCTGCTTCTGACTTGATTAAAACGTATTAAAATTATGATTATGATAGTTTAGTACCTAGCTGCTTAATGGTCGTAAAAAATCGATAAGCTTAACCGTATTAATTAGTAGATGTTGGTGGGGAGCGATCAGCCAGCCGATTCGCACGCTAAGAAAATG